AATTGAACTGACGTTTTCACGCGCAATTCTCATTAATACGTTCATCTGGTATAGTAACGACTAAAAACACGAAACTTTATAATATATGGAACTGAATAATAACTCAGCTGAACAACAATTCGCGAAATTCGAGTTCATTCAGAAAACAAGCCATAGCTGTACAATTTCAAGCAACTTCGTCCGCCATCTTTTTTTACGGCTTAGCAGCCAAGCATTTCTCCTCAGACCGCTGGCCCCCGTTCCCAGGGCACCATGCGCGTGCATTAACCTCAAACTGCAAGAGCCCCATCCCTCCGCCGCAGCGGGCGACCGCTCAGGCATCTGACTCTTTGAATATTCCCATCCCTCGGGCCAAAAATGGTCTACAAATGTCCCACCTTGGGGTCGCATTGGGTGATCAAATGCTTCTCCCGGCCCTAGGCCCGTGGCATCGTGTTCAAAATTATAGTATGGGACTAAATTAAATTAAAAGAAAAAACTTCACCCTAGAGCACCCATTTTAAACTTCCGCTGTGTCCCAAGTATATTGCTTTTTTAACAATCAATAGTTTCACATTAAGCATGAAACTACTGTTGAAATTGAGGGTCAAAATTCAAGCTTCGCCATCTTCGGCGATTTATGGCATGATCAGGGATATGAAAAATATTCCGCGTAAAGGTAAATTACTATTGCCGCGTAAATCTCTACGCACGTTGACGTACGTGAAAATTTTCAACGCACGTCAAAACGTAATTTTACGCACGAACTTACGCGCGTTTTGACTTTACGGTCCTTTATGTTTCCCAATTTCGCGTCATCTGAGTATACGCAACGATTCAATCAATGGTATTCTTGGATTTTTTTCACGTGACACAGTTCCCGCATGTGAACGCCGTTTTGTTTTAAAGCGCCGCAAAAATGGGAAAATATTCAGACGTAGAACCACTGGTTATCGAGGAAGTTCGAAAATTCCCAGCGTTGTGGGGAAACCACAGACCAAAACTACAAAAATACAGTTGTGAAAGAAAACGCTTGGCGTGAGGTAGCAGAAACTTTCAATCGGTACACCGATTTCTTCGACAACATCGGGCCCACAAGAGAAAGGAGATAGTCAAACCTTTCAGGTGTCATCCGGAAGTATTTGTAAAATGACTCGTGGTCATTTTCATGTATTTCGATTACCAGAGTATGGTATTCACCAACTAGACAACGATTTTGAAAGATTTCTCTTACCCAATATCTCTTGAGGTATTTTCGTCTTCTCTTTCGCCTTTGTTGTAGGTGAAAGAGAAGAAGGAAACGCTCTGATATCGACAGCTGCCGCCATTACTTTGAATAAGTTCCCGCGATTTCCCACCCAATTGATATCTACGTGTGCCTTGACTACGTTCAACGCACATAACAAAGTACGCACTTATTTTTATTACGTGTTTACGCGACAGTGGAAATTAGCAATGTACGTTTATTTTGCGCTCGTTTTACGTAAGTAAATGTTTACGCGACAGTGGAAATGGAAAAATGTAAACCCGAGGCAAAAATGTGTAAAAAGCGTAAGATTTCGGAAAGAAAATATACGCACCATAAAGTACAAATATGAAGAAGAAACCTATAAACTGAATTTAAGAGCGAGTGTCATTCTACAAAATAATCTCTCTAGATATGCAAAAATAGTCATCAGAGCAAAAGGTCCGCGAATTCGCTGCATTCCTCTTGGAGGTAGAGGGAAGCTTTGTATTTTTTTTATGCCAAAAGCTTCAAATAGAAGATTTGCGAGGTTGTTTTCTGAAACAATGGTCTTGATTCCCATGTGCCTTTGTAGGCATTAAAATCTACAACTGATAAAAAACTGACTTCGTAATACTTTTCTCGACCCTACGAAATAACAAAAAGTTTGTGAAGGACTTTCTTTTCGAGCCACGTTACAAAGAACACTGTATTAAACTTGACCATGACTTCGAGGCAAATTCCCTCCTATCCCTCTCATATATGTTGTAAAATGTCTCGCTCCAATATAAAAAAAGCACCGAAATCAAATTCTCGCCAACCGCAGCAAAGGAAAAACCGCGGAACGTGCGGAACCTAGGAAAATGATTTTAGTACAACCACAGTGGTGAATCCAGACCTTGAGAGCTAAGGGGGAGGGGGGCGGCTTTTTTGCTTGCCCTCCCAGCTTTTCTTCCCTCTGCGATTTTTTCCCCAAAATACAGGGGAGAGGACGGATCCCCCGGGCTCTTCCCCTAGATCTGCCACCGAACCAGTGGACTCCACTCACTAATTGTAATAATCACCAGCTCAGGAGTATAAAGACGAGAACCAACCAGAAAGGAAATTTAACGAATACAGGAATCGGAGCGTGTTTTGAATTGGGGGGG